ACGGCGCCAAGGCCGACCCAGCACGCGCCTCCCGCTCTAATCGCGTAACCCTCCCGACACCCCAGAGGTCGGTCCTGTCATTACCGTCCCCATTTCACAGCTCAGAAAACCGAGGCCAGAGAGGGCAGCGGCCTGCTTGAGGTCACGGGGTGGGGCAGAGCCGGCAGCAGCCTGTGCCCGCCGCCTCCAGAGTCCTCGTCCTTTGTCATCCGCCTGGCTTTCAGTGTCAGGAAAAACCCTTTCAGAGACTGGTGGAGTTTGGCTTCTGAGCGGCTGCAGACTAAAAAAAGAACAGGGATCATTTGCAGTGAGGCAGCTGAGGAAGCCGGTGACCTCCCTCAAGGGTAGGAACTGACACGGGGACACGGGGACTTTGTCGACCTCTGGGGCCCGGAGCACTGGGCGCTTATTGTCCCTCTGGGGGCCCCAGTTGCCCGGGAATGGCACACATCGCCCCCGTTCACCTCTGCCACCCGGGAAATGGCGTCGTCCTCAGCACACCCGCCCGGTGGGCGCCGAGCCGCAGGACGCACTGAGCTTCTGACCATCTTGGTGCGAATCCAGGCCAGGGCGGCATCTGCCGTGCTTCTGGGAGGTGGCCAGATGTCACTAAAGGTCTGTCCCCAAACTGCTCCCAGCTACAGTAGTCCTCTGCGATTCTGAGGCGTCTGATAGACTCGATCCTTCCTAGCAACTGTGTCTATAACGCTGCCCGGATAAACACACACACGAAACACAGAAAGCACAGAATTAGTACATGCGCATTATATAAAATGCATAAGACGTGAGCTACGTGTAAGCAAAGAGATTAAAGTGAAAATCGCACGAAAGCCCAGAGACCTCACGCCCCTGCTGTTCCCGGCCCAGCCTTCCGGTCTGGCTGCCGAAAGGCTGAAATCGCCATCCCACGTGATTCTGCACGTGCGTCTCACTGCACCTGCCTGTCCGTGACCCGCTTCACTCTTCGCCTGTGACGGCATGACGATCCTGCCTGTCATGAAACACTCTGCAAAGGCCGTCGTGGCGACCATACAACATTCCACGGCTTGGTAATTTTTTTTTTTTTTTTTGAGACAGAGTCTCACTGTGTCGCCCAGGCTAGAGTGCCGTGGCATCATCCTCGCTCACAGCAACCTCAAACTCCTGGCTCAAGCGATCCTCCTGCCTCAGCCTCCCAAGTAGCTGGGACTACAGGCATGCGCCACCATGCCCGGCTAATTTTTTCTATATATTTTTAGTTGTCTGATTAATTTCTTTCTAATTTTGGTAGAGACTGGGTCTCGCTCTTGCTCAGGGTGGTCTCGAACTCCTGAGCTCAAACGATCCGCCCGCTTCGGCCTCCCAAAGTGCTAGGATTACAGGCGTGAGCCACTGCGCCCGGCCGGCTTCGTAATTTTTAACGACTCTTCCCATTATTGGGCGTTTGGATTTTTCCAATTATTTCCAACTTATTTTTACTTCCCGATGTCATTTTCATCTCCACTGTAACATAACATTTACAAAAGCGGTTTGTCTTTGGTTTTATTTTCCAAAAATGCTCGGTGATTGGGATTCCTGGCTGCAGAGTAGGAGATTGACTTTTGGCCCTTGGTTTGTCTCATGCACAAAACAGACTTAGTTCTGGTTCGGTTCTGGGTTCATGGTGCGAGCTAGCTGTCCGTCCGGTTTTCGGATTGGGCTCAGAATGTGGGAGGGGTGCGGGCCACATGCCACCCCAGTCCCCCATCTGGATGGACAGGTTTCCAGCGGTGAAGGGAGGTGAATCAGAGAGGTGGAGACACTCACCCAAGGGCACACAGCACAGTGGTGTCCAGAAAGGAACCAGAGCCTCCCAGGCTGTGGCTTTGACGTGCATTTCTTTGTCCCTTTGAAGATTCCAAGCCAGGCCCGCGTCATATTCTTTGCAACCTGTGACCCTCCAGCTGGCCTCTCTGAAGGCGGCTCCCTCCACCCCTCTGGGCACATTTGGCATTTTCAACATTCCACGGGCTCCACACCCGCCTCTCGGAGCCGTGCACGTCCGGTGCGCGCTATCTCTTGTCCTTTCCATCTCCAGCTAAGGCTTTCCACTGTTTAATCTTCGGCACGGAGGGGACAAACGGTTCTGCTTTTGGCCACTCCATGGTTTTCATTCACATCTAGCACCCGGAAGGTGCCGCTAAAAGGCCCGAGGTGGAAATCTGCCTCCTAAGGCTCCTTCCATCTTTTACGACAGAGGCGTGTCGTGGCCCCGGGTTCGCCATAAACACAACTGGAAACAATATGACAGCCCGTTGGGACGCAGCGGGGGGCCGGGGGTGTGTGGAAAACGCAGGGACAAATGCTTCCTTCTTGCCTTGATCTTGAGACGGAAATGTCCTTGTGTGCCTGCGTTTTCAGGGCCCCTCTTGCAAAGATTACAAGATGGCATTTTGCCGGAAACTTCTCTACTCACAGACATCCCTTAGCCTGGGCTGGGCTAAGCGTGGAGGAAGGGCTCAGGGGAAGGGGCTGGCAGAACCATCTGGGTGGTCTGCCAAGCTAGGGAGGGGCTGGGGTACCGCTGGGGTGCCGGGGGGCCCGTCCCCATCCACCCCGTCTGTGGAGTAATTGCTCAGAAGGGAAGACGCAGCTTGCGACCACACTGCCTGCCTGGTGGCGGCGGCGATGGTGGAAGCCCCTCCCTGTGTCCCTCTCGGGGTCGGGGTCACCTTGTGTTCACCTCCCAACGCTTGGTCAGCGGAGGTTGAGGCGCTCGGCGGGTTTAGAAGCACAGGTGACGAGACCCAAAGACCTGGTTGCACAATCTGATCTGCTCACTGCTTGCGAGGAGAGAGAGAGAGAGAGAGAGAGAGAGAGAGAGAGAGAGAGAGAGAAGGAGAGAGAGCGCTTGACACACACTTCAGGCAGCCGCAAACCAATCGATCCGCAGTTTGCAGGACTGTCGGAGAATGCGGGTGCTGGAGTAAAGACCTCGTCTAACTAGGTCCTGTCCGCCTGGGTGAACCTGCCTGGTGACGCTCAGATAAAATACAGAGCACGTGTGCTCGTTTGTTTTCTTCTGTGACAGCCACATTGGATTCTGGAATTAAGCTCTGGGGAAAGAGGGTTTGAAAAGGTGTCACTTGTCCCAGGCTGGGGTGCGTTGTCACGGTGGCGGGTGCTGTCACCTGCGGGGAGGATCGAAGCCCCTCCGTTTACCTCTTCTCTGTTTTCACGCTGTGTCTTCACGCCCAGACCGGGCACGGCTTGGCTCAGAGCCAAGCCGACTCCTCGCTGCTCGGGTTTCAGACAGATCCTGTCGTATTCTCACCTCCTGCTCCAACAGCTGGAAGCCAGGAACCCCTTTTCTGCTCGATATCACCCACTCCCAAAAGGCATCTCCAACCCGCGTTGGTCCCTGGCCTCCGAGCACCTTCACCCAGGCGGCTGCCGGCAGCTAAGCCGGAGCACGAGCTCACTTACTCTGCATTTCCTACGACCAATTGCCGCAGACCTGGAGCGTTTGAATCATCCGCCAGAACGCCTTTCTGACTCAGTTCCTCTGAAATGCCCCAGGAAAGGCAACTGGGCCAGTGTAAGCTGGTCTGTTGGGAGTGGGTGTGCCAACGAGCATTTAGAAGTGGCTCACCGTGTGCCCAGGGAGGCCAGGCTCAGAAAGTAAATGTCCTGCCTTTCTTTCCAGCTTCCGTGCACATTTGCTAACACTGGGACTGCCCTGTTTCGTTTTAATTGTCGTTATTCAGCCATTCCTGCTACCGGGAGGTCAAATGCTGTTCTCATCACCCGGGGAGCTGTCTTGGGTGCAGCTGCTCCCTGCTTCACGAGCTGTTTAACTTTGCACAACGACATAACTTTGCACGAGGATAAGCGAGGTGGGGAGACGGTGCTGGACCTGCCCCGGGCGTTCTGCCGCGGGTGAGCCGCGTGCTTGGAGCGCCTTGCAGATTGTGCAGCCAGAGATTCGATGTTTCCAGCTCACGGAACCGGCCCGCAGGCGTTCGCTGCGACAGAAGATGGCTGTTTACCGCAGTTCGCGCAGCATTTGTTTGCACACGTTTGTGACCCGTCCCGTCGGAGCTGGCCGTCATTTCAGTTCAAGTGGAGAAACCTGCCTGACTTTATTCAGCGATGTGTTAGCTTCCAAGGACCACAAGCCGAGTGGCTTAAAACAACAGAAGTGTATTCTTGCACAATTCTGGAGGTTAGAAGTGCAAAGTCCCGGTGTCGGCAGGGCCAGGCTCTAGGGAGGATCCCTGCGGCCTCTCCCTGGTTTTTTCTGGCTGTGGCAACCCCGGGTTAGCGGCTGCACCCTTGCAATCTCTGCCCTGTCTCTACTCGGCCTCCTCCCTGTGCCCCTGTGTCCCTGCTCTTCTTAGGGTGACACCTGTCACATTGAGATGGGAGCCCCGCCTACCCCAGGATGACCTCATCTTAACTAATTACATCTGCAATGACCTTCTGTCTCGGTGGGTCAGCTGAGGTCCCAACCCACCGAGAGGCAGCACCGACCGCCCCATGCGGGGACACCTCCAGGCAATCCCAGCCCCAGCCGTGGGTCTTCAAAGCTGGAGCCTCAGGCACCACAGAGCAGGGAAAACCACCCCAACCACGCCCTGTCCACGCTCTTGCCCCACAGAGCCCGTGAGTAAAACCCAATGGTTGCTTTATCCCATCAAGTTTAGGCTGTTTTCCTATCCAGCAACAGGGACTGGAACTTCATCCAGCAATTGTTTCTTGAGCACCTACTATGTGCCAGGGGGTTAAGGGTGAGCAGCAGCAGACGTGGGTCATGCCCACCGGCAGCCCCACTCTTGTGAACACAGAAGATGAAAGATAATCAGAGTTTTGCTTCTCATGCCAGGATTTGTTTTTGTTTCTGTTTTATTTTGTTTTTAAAAGAGGAGGAAACTTGGACTCTATCCTCTTCGGGCTTTGATGCTCTTGCCAAATGAATTAGCCAAAAGTATTTCAGCCTGGCCGTGCCAATTTAGTGTAGCCTAAGCAGAGTTAGCTGTGAGTCACCTTCTGCTGCTCCGCGGAAGGACCGACAGCCCCTGGGTGCACATGTTTGGCCTTCGGTCCTGCAGGGCGTGACCTTGGAGGAGGCAGGTGTCACAGAGACCTGCGGGGACAAGGGGGCAGGGAGGGGCGTGGGCCCTGGGCTCTGAGTGCCGTGGCGTCTCCACCTTTGGAGCCATTTCTGAGCGTCTGGACACAGTGCCCAGATACCTGTAGGGGTGCAGGTCACCGCTCCCGGGTAGGAAAGACCTGGCCTGGGTGGCAGTCACGGGCCCGGCGTGGCGGGTGGCACTGAGCGTGGTGAACGAGCCTGGCTCTGCCCGCAGCCCCGACTGGCACGGCCGTCTCTCCGGCTGACCTGTGGCCCTACCCACGGCGTTCCCAGGGCCCTTCCAGAGGCCGGTCGGGGATGGCAGTGGGCGGATGGAAAAAGCCGATTATGTCCCTGGTTGAAGGCCAAGGCTCAAGTTTGCAAACTCTGTGAAAACAAACACAAGAGCGAATGTTCCCGGTCCCAGCAGGACAGAAAACAGTCAGGAGGGATTCCAAGAGGGCAGCTGCAGGGTGGAAACTGTTGGTAGCAGACCAGGGCTGAGAAAGACCCCGGGTTAGGTGCCCGCGCCCCGGCCCCGGAGGCAGACTTTCCCATGGGAACGCGGGGCGGTGGCGGCGGCCGTGTCTCGCGGCGCAGTGGCCATGAGGGGGACCAGAGTGCTCCCCCGGAGGGCCATTTCTGTAAACGGCGTCCCAGCGTCCTCCCCAAGGGCCCCGCGTGGACATCCCCCGGCCTTCCGGGAGACCGACGGGTTCCCAGCACTCCCGCAGCAGACACGCGCTTTGACGCTCAGCGCCCCCTTCTCCCGTCTCCGGGTAGCAGGACCTTAAATTTCCCGGGGACCCGTTTCCATCACTGCCTGCAGGTGTGGTCCTGTGAGTCAGGCCCGGCTGTCAGGGCTCTGTCTCTCTGGCCACAGATTGGTTCAAGGACAGGCATGTGACCCGATTCTGGCCAATGACCATCAGGCTGAGAACTTCGGTTCACACAGGTGAGGACCAGAAGGTTTGGTTTCCACTGGGCTGGAAGCAGAGAGGACGTCAGCCGGGAACCCTGCGTTAGGGGCATCGTGGGGAAGCGCTGCCTGAGTCCCCTGGAGAGGATGGGGGCGGTTTTGGGGATGGCGTTTAAATCCAGCCACGCCCAGACCCCTAACTCTCCATGTAAGTCAATGTGTCCCCTTTCTTTCCCTTCTGTAGAGATTTGAGTGGGGCCTTCCGGGCTTGCACCTGAGAAGGGCCTGGCTAAAGCCCATCTCATCTCAAACATGGTGGAGGGCGTCGTCCCGGGGAACGCGCGTCTCGCCACAGACTAGACGGAGGAAGAGGCACGAGGTAGGCGGCTGGGCGAGCGTCTGCGGCTGCCCCAACGAGTTATCATAAATATGGTGGCTTCAAACAACACGCGTGTGTTTTCTCACGGTTCTGGGGGTCAGAAGTCGTGGAATCAAGGAGCCTCCAGTTCTGGGTTCCTTCCGGGGGTTCTGGGGTGAATCCGTTCCCGACCCCCTTCCAGCAATGGGAGGCGCCATGTTCCCGTTGCACAGCCCCTTCCTCCAGCAGAGCCACCGGCGTCGGGACCCTCTGACCCTCCTGGCGTCGCCTCTCCCTGGGGCCACCGCTGGGAGCAGTTCTCCAGTTTTAGGTACTTACGTGGTTAGACTGTGTCCACCTGTGGAATTCAGGAAACTCTTCCCATCTCAGGGTCCTTGGCGCTACTCACATCCGCAAAGCCGCCTCTGCCCTGCAAGGTGACATGTTCCAGGGCCCAGGATGTAGGACCTGGGCGTCTTCTGCCTACCGCAGTCACACGATTATAATTACATTTGTATTATAATTATAAAGGCAGTTATAACACACCTGCTGCACTATTTATTGAGGGCTAAAAGGGTTGTAAAAAAAGTTAAAAAAAAAAAATCAAGCTTGGCCAGGCACGGTGGCTCACGCCTGTAATCCCAGCACTCTGGGAGGCCGAGACGGGCAGGTTGTTTGAGCTCAGGAGTTCGAGACCACCCTGAGCAAGAGCGAGACCCCGTCTCTACTAAAAATAGAAAGAAATTAATCGGACAACTAAAAATATACAGAAAAAATTAGCCGGGCATGGTGGTGCATGCCTGTAGTCCCAGCTACTCGGAAGGCTGAGGCAGTGGGATCGCTTGAGTCCAGGAGTCTGAGGTTGCTGTGAGCTAGGCTGACGCCACGGCACTCTAGCCCGGGCAACACAGTGAGACTCTGTCTCAAAAGGAAAAAAAAAAAGCTTGATAAAACGGCTGGTGCACAAGGCCACACAACCGAAGGTGTGATGTTTTGGGGGTTCCAGGGGTGACTGACTGGTTTCCCTGTACTGTGGGCAACCCGGGGGCTCTTTGTTGATAGCCAAAGCAAGAGTCACTGTTTTTCATTGATATTTATGAAAGCCACATCCACACCAAGGCAGAGCCGGTGGAATTCCTTCCAGGCTGTGTTTTAGAGCCTCCTGGGGGCAGGGGAGCTTTCTCCTTACTGGCTTCGCTCAAACCCCACCCGCCCTTCCCCTCCCTGACGCTGGCTGAGCCTGGTTTCCTGCTCTGGGAAGCGCAGGCCCGTGTGGGTGTGGGGCCCCGACCCGAGCGTGGGCAGGTGTCACAGCCCAGCAGGAGTCATCCAAGGTGAAGGGCAGGTCCGGGAGGTGGTGGGCGCACCTCACCTGTCCCTGCGGCCGAGGACAGGCTGGGCTGGCAGAGCCACCTCTCCTCTGGATGTGCCCGGCTGGTCTCGAACCAAAGGTGACTCACCACCCGGTGACTTGTGCCTCTGGGCAGGCGCTTGGATGGGCGCTGTGCACTTGGAGTAAAACCCACACTGCTTGCCACGGCCCCCGAGACCCCCGGCTTGGCTCCCCAGTGCCTGAGCCTCTGCCCCAGTCCCCACCCCAGCTCTCCAACCCCAGCCCTGCACAGGCCTATCCCCTGCCCCGGGGGACCCCAAGTCCCCCTGTCCCACCCTGTGGCTGTGCCCCTGCTCTCTCAAATGCTTTTTCCCAGAGAACCCCACGATCACTTCCTGTCCAGCATTCGGATCACCTGTCACATGTCACCTCCTTGGGACGCCTTCCTCCCCCATTCTAACATTTCCACCCTCCACGATGGTTTCCCTGTTTCTTTGAAACATTGCCACGCTTGAAATGGTCTTGTTGTTCTCACTTGCTATTAGTCCGTCTCTCTGCCCAACTCCCACTGCAGGGTCACTGCCTGGAGAACACAGCCTCGTTCCTGTGTCTTATTTACTTGTCACCGAGGACAGCGCCTGCCAGAGAGCAGGTGTCCAGCGATGGTCGAGTGGGGCCAGGATGGGTTGGGAAGGTGGCCACGTTCATCCCTGGTGTGGGAGCTTCCAGCACCCGGGCTCTCCCGGAGTGCTCTGCCAGGCCAAGTCAGGAGGGGAAGCCGAGTGCCTTCCACGGCTAGGGCCCCCAGGCCTTGCGGCTCTGCCTTGGTCTCTGGGAACATGTGTTTCCAGAGCTTTCAGCCACCATGGAGGAAGTCCTTCTACCCGAGGCCAGCAGGTTGGGCAGGCCACATGTGAAGTGCTGGTCCGCAGTCCTAGCTGAGCCCAGCCTCCCAGCCCTCCCTGCCAAGGTGTGAGTGAGGTTATCCGGACCCTCCAGAACAGCTCTTCCCACAACTGCATAGCTCCCCATGAGCCCTGCCCACGCCAAGTACAACAGAAGAACCACCCAGCAGAGCCCTGCCAAAGTCCAGACCTACAAAATTGCAAGATAAAATGTTTTTTCTTAAGCTGTTAAGTTTTGTGAGTATTTGTTATATATCAGTTCTGTTATAAGCATTTCTGTTGCCTATAAGCCAGCCAGTTTATGGTAGTTGGTTATAGCAGCTGGAGCAGACTGACGCACAGTCTGTGGCCCTCCGCAGAGTCTGACGCCTTCCCGGAGGCCTTCCGGGCCCCGCTCCCATGTGCTTCTCTCACCCTCCCCCTGCTCGCTTCGGTAGATGTTTTTAATTCAGCTTCAGAGAGTAATTTCGGAATGGCCTTCTCAAGACCAGTGTGGAATGAGACAAAGTATTTTTTAGTGGGGCACCTCATTATATGTGTTTTGTATTATCCTCTTAAACTCACGCACCAAAGCCCGGCCTCCTCAAGAGCTGTGCAAACGTCTTATCTTCAATGTGCCAAATGCAGGTAAATCCGTTCAGAAGCACCGTGCCCCCTTCAAATACAAGGGTTGGCTCTTCTATCGGCTGTGTAGAACTGGAGCAAGAAGACATTAACATTGGCCCAAGAAATGTGAGTTGGACCTTTTGTTTAAAAAATGGAATATCTGTAGTCGAAGCTTAAGTCGATATTTATGACAACATAATGAAGTAGACATTACTATTCGTCCTGTTGTGCAAATGCAGGAATGGAGACTTGGAAGAATTAAGTGGGGGACCCAGTGTCGGCCCAGCCACTACCTAGGAAGCCCCTTGAGGCTGTGCTTGGTAGAGGGTGTTACTGTGAGTCACGTGAGTATTGTACCCCATTTCCCTCCTCGCAGGCAAACTCCCGCTGCCGGGAGACACGTGGAACGGAGACCCTTCAGACCATCTGGCTGCAGTTGAGAAAATCAAACTGCCCCATTCTTGATATTTTTCTGGATCAATCCAGCCCGCAGGGCCCCTCTCCCCCATTCTTGGCAGCCAGACTGTCCTGTTCTGCGATGGGGTCGACTAAACACCCTTCATCAATGTCCCACTAAAAAACACAGCCGGGGCGTTCGCCTTAACATACTCATTTATGAATTCGGGGCTTTAGTTTCCCCACTCAGATGAAATTGTGATTTAGGCATTTCTGTCCCTTTGTGTTTACCACGTTGCTGAGTTCACGGCCAAGAAGTCTGGTCCAGCGTTCCAAGTAAAACCCTGGCTACCCCAGGCCCGCTATTTATGCAGTTTCCATTACGGATGGAGCTCTTGATTTGCAAGCATTTGGCCCATAAATTAACGGGCTTTCCTGTGCTCAGATGAGTCCTTTGCAATATTAACTTGTATTTAAGACTGTTAGTCACTTTCTTGTTTTAAATTGAGTAGAAACGCATGCAACGTAAAGTTAACCATTCTGAAGGGTACAGTTCAGTGGTATTTTGTACGTGCACAGAGCTGTGTAAACGCTACCTCTGTCTGCTTCCTGACACTCTCGTCACCTGCGAAAGGAAACCGGGTACCCGTCGGCAGTCACCCCCAGTCCTCCTCCCTCATCCCTTGGCCACCACCAACCCACTCTCTGCCTCGGTGGCTGTGCCTGTTCCGGGCATTCCGTGTAGGTGGAATCGTACACCTGCGGCCTTTTGTGTCTGGCCCTGTCCTCACTTTTGAGGTTCATCCGGACCGGCACGGACCAGAGCATCCTCCCTTTCTGTGGGAGGATAATATCCTGTTGTGGGATGTAGCTTGACTCTGGAATCCACTCAGCCACTGAGGGGCGTTTGAGCTGTTTCCGCGGAGATCGCGTCTAAGCAGAGAGATGAGAAACAGCACTGGGCCCGGGAGCTGCGGGCCAAGGGGAATCCGGTTCACGCAGAGGTGCTGAGAGAGCGGGTCCGCTCTCCCCACAGACCTCGGGACCTGAGGGCAGATGGGAGTTTCCGGAGAGGCATCTGCGGCGCCTGGAAGCTGGCAGGCCCCCACCCTCGGAATGGCTCTCGGCCTCCGGAGCAGCTGCAGGATCCAGGCCCGCCCCGGAGTGACCGGCTTGTCGCGGCTCCAGAGTTCACCCCAGTTCAGGCCCAAGCGGCTCGTCCGGGTTGGGGCTGCCAGGTCCACACACCCACGGCTCGCACACCTGCAGGACTGGAGCTGCCACGGTGGCCGCCCAGGGGAGCTGCTTGGAGGGCACAGATGGGATCACGTGCCCTGCTGACCTGCATCTATGACAAGAGGTTGCAAGTAGGTCAGGGTCTGAGTTAGGGTTTGACCTCACGCCACCCTGTGATCATCGGAGGACCGAGTGTGCTGGGCAGGAAGGCTGGCACCGCTGCTCCTGGCTTTTCCGGCCCCGGTGCCTGCAGAGGGAATGATGGCCTCTGCCCAGCCCACGGGCAGCCTCCAGGTCACAGAGTCAGGTGGCCCTGGGCTGCGAGCCGGGCCTGGCCAGGACACAGGGGACAGGACAGAGGAATTTGCCCTCAGCCTCTGGGTCTGCGTGGAGGAGACAGAGCAGCCCGACAGGCCTGCAGCTGCTCCTGAGCAGTGTGACGGGAGTGTGTGCGTGCATGGGTGTGGTGTGCACACGTGTGTGCAAGCATGTGTGTGCATGTTAAGCGTGGGAGAGGATGTGAGTGTGTGATTGCATGAGGGTGTGAGAGAGAGGCTGTGTGTGCGTGTAAGGGGCACAGTCTCAGACATGCAGGCTGCCCTGGCCAGCAGACTCTTACAACCACGGTGACAACCCCTGCTCCCATCTGGGGCCCCACACTGGGGACCAGGCGCTGAGCTCCGTGATGCCGCGTAACCGCACAGAGTTGAGAGGTGTGTTACTGTGACTCCACAAGACGCCATAGAAACAGCGACCACAACCAAACAGCAGGCAACGGCGAGCGGACACCCAGTGTCCAGGAAAGGAACCATTATTAAGCTCCTACTGTGTGCCAAGCACAGTGTGTTTCCAGAGACACCTGTTCTCACCCGTCTGCAACTCTGAAGCCAGGTGGCCTTGTCATCCTCACGTTACGGATGAAGGCTTGGGGCTGGCCGGGATCTCGCCCTGTTCACGTCTGGCTGTGAAGTGCTTCCGTGGGCGGGAGGCAGCTGAGGTCTCTTGGAAGGGGCTGGAAGGTCCAGAGCCTGGAGCCCACATTGTGCCTGGCAGAGCCACGCAAAGAGGGGGGACTGGGGCGCCCGTCCAGTGAGGCCAAGCCTTTGGGGTGTCACCTGCAGCCCACACTGGGAGCCTCCTGCCCGCACTTCCACCCCCCAGCCCGGATCCCCCCAAGCCAACGGGCCGGCAAGTTCTGTCTTGTGACTTCTGGGTGAAAACTAGAAATAGAGTTCGTCGACGACCCAGGATTCCTTTCATCCCTTCGCCGCGCCTTAATTGCGCTGGGGGAGTTTATCCTTCGTGCGTCTGGGGGCGATTGCTCTAATTCGCTCCAGCCCAGCCAGAAATGAGACTTTGGATTTTGCCAAAACTTGCTGTGTGAGCCACCAGGGATGATGCGTCCGGAAATTTCGTGATGAAGAAACTTTTGAAAA